CGTACCAAAACAATTGTGTTTTTCCAAATTTTGGCGCTGTCAGAACCACCGCAAAGTAATTTTACGTAGTCCTGTGAAGTTTTGTTGAAATCGGTTGAAAAATGTAGGAAATCCGATCCAATATATAAACGTACAGACACACACACACACACACACACACACACACACACACACACAATCTGCGTTTTATAATAAGTAAGATTCACATATTTGCCATAATTATTCATGTATATTAAATTACAAAAATGCTTAGCGATATTGACAGACAAAAGAAAAACATGCCAGTTAAGTTTGTTTACATGCGTCAACAGTAGCAGCGAGCTTCCCCTACCTTTTTCATGAGGCCGATAACTACAATTTATACGTATAAATAAAACAACCTAAATCAGTATCATATACATTGTCTCATATGTAGACGCATTTTCTTTTTATCCTATATTAACGCTATTCATTCTGTTGTACTGTAAAAAAAGATACATAAAATATTGTTCGCAAAGAATCTTTATAATACATTTCTTTCAATTTGGAAGAAAGATAATACTCAAATAATAAAAATATTGATATTTGTAGATCCGTGTTTGAAGATTCCCTTATTTCTTCCTTAAACACGTAGATACACCTATATACATTATATACTCGTGTAACGTGCGATCCTCAAATTTTTACTTATAAAAAATGATTTTATCATGTATTTCGTGTATCATGCGCGTTCCTTTTTTGAGAGACCAAATGACAATTGCAATTACTCTTTTCCTTTATCTCTTTCTCCCATCTTCTAGTTAAGTTAAAATAGTTAAAGAGAATGATAAAAGTATCTTTAGTAACGCTATACTCGTTACGTAAATACATAAAGCCATAAACAACCGAGCGAGAAACAGCTAAACATCTTTGAAACGTAAACAATGAAAAAGATGCATATTCGCTATGTTTGTATTTTATAATACGATGCTAATTTCGGAATATTACATGCATTATTATTGGACACAATTAAGTAAAACATCAGTTTTATCAAATTCATGTTTATTTTAAATGCGGCTGTACTTTTTGACTCTAGTAAATGGATATATAATTTGGTCAACGGCATAGTGAGGGCCAGCAGTAAATAGGCTAATTTTATATCTCGTGTATGATGCGACCCCCTTAAAATTAGCTTCTAAATTAGGTCTTCAAAAGTTGCATGATACACGATATATATATATATATATATATATATATATATATATATATATATATATATATAAAAGGCTTAACACTCCATGGTCATAATTTATTCCATTGGAATCGTAAATACGATCCAATTCATCAGACCTACAAATTCAAAAAGAAAACAGAAAAAAACAACTCCGGAAATAAAAATAGAATTTAGAGAGAGTGTAAGTATGAGAGTGTGGGACGAATGTTAGAGTTAAAGAGAGGGGTAACAGACGAGAGAAGGTGGGAGACTAAAACTTAACAGAGAGGGTTTTTTAAATAGAGGTGAGTGGAAGGGGGAAATATGAATGTTGTCGGATGTCTAATACATTAAACATATATTTTGTGGTGACATACACACACCATAGACGATCTAATGTTAAAGATCAGAATAAGAGGGAGGGAGAGGAAAAGAAAAGAAGAGGTGGGAGAGAGAGATGGGGCGGGGGAAACTAAAATTGAAGGACATTTACCTGAAAGGAACGCTGTGTAATTGAGAAAATTTGCCAAAATTAATATCGACTACAGGTTACAAATCAAATATAAACATATAAAAAATAAATATAACGATTATCTAATCTAGCAAGGACCTATATTTTTATGTTCAAAAACACATGCGTATACACACATACACAATGTGTATATTTACCACTAATATTCTCTATCTATCTATCTATATATATATATATATATATATATATAATTATAAGAAGAAAATTTCATTACTAAACAAACAAAAAGATTCATTCTTCATTCAGTGTACAACTGTCGTCTTATCAATTCCTCCTATATGAGAGTAAATGCTGAACAATTTCCTCACGGACGATGAGGAGACTTGGAGTAAAAATGTAGTTTTACAGAAGAATATTATAGACATGTAAGGGACACGTTTGCCAAGGATCAACAAAAAAACAATTGAAATTTCTCTTCAAACGAGAAAATGGGTTGGAGAATTTGATACTCACAAGTTTTATTGAAATCTAGAGAGAAATGCTAGTAAAATACCTAACTAGTTTGCGTAAACGGATGATATAGAATGGACTGGGAGAGATAATAAGAGGATAAACATAGCTTAGAATTACAAAAGATAGGACGTTGTAGAGAGCCATAATCTATTAAACTTATTAATTATATTGTATTACTTTAATGTTGAGTGAAACAGGTCTCAAATGTAATGTCCCGTATTCGTTTGTATCTTGCCGATTCAAACGATATGACAGGGTTTATGTGGCCTGGTTAACGCAAGGCCTGTGCTCTGGATAGATCATACCAGTTTCACCACCAAAGGATTCAATTTTGAGCCAAACACGTCGTTACAATTATTTCGTGAGATAAACGGGTGTCTCCTATTGAAATGTTGGGTACTCAATAAGAACAAAACACTTCTATGGTATAAACAATCTACGAATAAGCCTGTTTGACCAGTGACACACGACATGGCCTTTCAAAAAAAATAAATAAATAAAAGGTTTATTTGTTTACCTTTGAATTTGTAAAAAACGTGGAAAACACCAATGTAATTCAATAACTGAACAACAAATTAATCGCCACATTTTTTTATATTTTTCAACACAGTAGTAAAAAGGAGAGAGTTCAACAGATAGTTTTGAATTTAAATTTGTTTATCTTCTAGATTGTCTGCTTACCAAAATCGAAGTCTGGCTATTTTATACATGGCTTACTTATTAAGGAAGATGGGTTCATGCTTTTCGAGGTATTATCATGTCCTTAATTCGCCTAGTCAGATCGAGATATTCATTTGGATGTCATTCATAGCACCAAACACGTTCAGAAATATCTGTCAGCAAAATACAGATCGATTGTGAAAAATGGCTCCGAGCGAGTGAAGTGTGAATCATCTTCATTGGGAATCATCGAACCCCGTGGGCAGGTGTTATAGAATCACAAAGAACTGTACGAGATAACAGAATGCGCATCACTTGAGGACCTTCAACTGCAGCAACAACTAAAATGGATAGTATATGTAGCTCGAATAGGGAATAATGACGTTCCACTGTACACCAAACAAAAGGCAAGGAAGGAAACTCCCATCAATACTGGGAAGAGCCTTAAACAATTCCGAAAAAATGTTTTCAAAGAAAGATTTTATAAATTTCAGCCGGCAACAAGTTTAAATGATAGGTCAATGAATGCCGAATGTTTCCTTATAAGGAAACAGCAAACATTACTATTACCATTTTGACGAAATAAACATTAACTCAACAAAGATTTGAATTCGCATCGCCAAGTAAAGCTTGTAGACCTGAAAACAGTTCGGATTTAAACACGTCAGGGTTTCAAGAAAATTAATCTTTACAAAGACCTATATATATATATATATATATATATATATATATATATATATATATATATATATATATGCGTGTGCTTCGTTTGATTGCTTTTCTAATCTCACAGATCGCTGCTCGTCTGCAAATGTCAATCTTCACTGTCTATTTGCCAGATGTATGTAATATTTATATCTGCAAATATATTGTGTGCCAGTTCAAGAACGATGATTCTTCGTCTAATCCCACAGACCATTGCTTGTCCAAGGTTGTCAATCCTCATCGCGTGTTACACGATTTGCCTCATGTATCTAATCTTAAGATTAACAAACATATTTTCTGCTCTTGAACCATGATGGCTTGTCTAATCTTACAGAAAAATGATCGTCTTACTGATGTCAGTCTTCATTGGGGATTACACGATTTGCGAGTTATGTTTATAGATAAAATATATTGATGGTCTTTTCTATAGAATGATTTAAAGTAGTCTCCAAAGCTCTTGATCGTAACTTTAAACCTCATAGGGTACCCAACTATTAGAGAGCCCGGTATCAGATAACGCTAACATATTGTTATCTACACTGAATGTCTGCTAGACAGAAATGGAGACGAAACCAATCGTTCTGATCGTTGTTAATCGTTTTAAATCCTCGCAAAGTTCTTTTTTGGTGAACCTGTGTCTATTACAAAATTCAGGCTTATTTCGTGTTTTCTAAACAATTTAAATAATATCTGTCTATATTTTTGAGATGAGGTATTCTGAATTATTTACACTATTTACATTGTTTGACTATTCTCCTCATCTTTGTTGCCATATTCGCGACCTACCCCATTATTTCGTCAACCGGGGTAGATTATTCTAGTTTCTCGTGCCATGCCTCTTCCAGATGTCTCCGTTTAACTCAACATCTCCAAGTTTTTGTCCCCCACTGCTGTGAGTAAAATAGTCCGAACGATGTAAATAGAACACAAAAAATTCAAACTTGAAAATAAAAAGCAAAAAGTTTTTGTAAGATACGATGCCCAGGGTTAAAGGTAGAAGCATTGAAAGAGGAAAAGTTGAAGGTCATGTCGGAAGAAGGCCGTGGCAAGAAGCCTGAAGCCGGCACGTGAAAGATCTGCAAATGGTTGGGGGTGAGTGCGAATGGGAATACTCGGCCAAAGCTACAATTCAGTCAAAGAAACGTCCTGAAAATCTTTCACTTTCTTCTTTGCATCCACCCACTTCAAATTCTGAGAAGTGACTCGCAGTCTGGCGCGAATAAAGAACAGTTGTTTGGGCCGTCTATTATGGTAAAATGGATGGCGATGCCTAAAGGTAGTGAATGACTGTTATTAAGAAAGAAACCTTAGAGAACGTAACGATGTGGCTAGAAAAATTAATTTCTGTCCAGAGTGATCAGATTGCGACGAAAGGGCTTCATTTGAACATTGCAATCAATCTGTTCATAATTATGTATTGATTGATCTCTTTTTCTTTCTTGCCCTCTTTCTTTCTTTCTTTCTTTCTTTTTGTGTAAGTCTACCTCTCATTTTCTCTCTATCTATCGAAATCTGTTTCTATCTATCTATCTATCTATCTATCTATCTATCTATCTATCTATCTATCTATCTATCTATCTCTGTCTGAGTCTCTCTTTCTCTCTCTCTCTATATATATATATATATGTATGTAAGTATAGGACTAATTCAAATGTAAAATTTGTCACTTAGCTAACTGATGTTCTATTCAACGTCTCTCTGCTCTCTCTAAATATATCACTCTCTTTTTCTCTCCTTTATATATATATATATATATATATATATATATATATATATATATATATATGTATGTATGTATATATCAGTCTGTTCATTATCTATCTCAGGCTCTTCATATCTATCTCAGTTTCTTCATATCTCCCTCTTTCTCTCTATCTATCTCAGTCTTTTTATAGGAGGTGTGATACAGCGATACAGTACTGTCTGCGAATGATATATATATATATATATATATATATATATATATATATATATATATATATATATATTGTTGTGGTACGATCCACCTAATTTACATAAGTGGAGTACCGACCATATAAATATGGGTTGGTACCGGGAGACAGGGGAAGTGAGAAGAGATCCAATCGAGAGAGACTCTGCCCGACTGCTATTTAGTCAACCCATTCTGCAGGAACAGTCTTCCCAAGAATATACCAAAACTAACTGTAAATATTGTGTACCTTTTCCTTGTTTCAATACATTTTGTTTACGTACATTTTGCGTTGTATTATTATTATTCCATGCTTATCCAAGCTTCAACATATATATATATATATATATATATATGTGTGTGTGTGTGTGTGTGTGTATGTATATATATGTATGTGTGTGTGTCTTTATCTTTACTTATTTCATACACTGCGGCGCCTGATTTAGATCTGTCTTCATCGTCCTCGTCTTGAAGACAATTTTTATCGAGTTACATTGTAAATGGCGTTTGACTGGGCTATGTAAACATCAAAAACATTTGTAATAGTTAACGAGCTGGTATTGTGATTTAGATGTGTGTATGTGTAGGTATATATATATATATATATATATATATATATATATACTTATATATATACTTATATATTTATATATAAGGTATAAAAGTGGATATATTTTTAGATGTTATACTTTTTCAATCAATAAACATGTGCGCCTGTAAATATACATAGAAACTAATATCTACATGATCCAAAATTTCAATGTATGTGTGTTGTTTGTGTGTGTGTCTATGTGTGTGCTTAAATTTGTGTTTTGTCGTTTTCGATTGATATATATATATATATTGTTTTTCCTCCGAGACAATCCGATCTGATAAATGCCTCTTCAACTAAGAACAAAATTGGCTGTTTGGATGAAATTATGGTTCGGTAAGAAAGAAAGAAAAGAAAAGAAAACAAATGAAAGAAAGAAAGAAAGAAACTATAGAAAATCGTTATAAATTGATTAATTGAAAAAAAGTTTAGAATAAATCTTAATTTACTCCAAATTTTTTTTTAATTAATCAATTTATATCGATTTTCTGCACGTTCTTATTTCTTCCTTGCTTTGTTTTTCTTTTTTTTCCTTCTTTCCTTCTTTCTTTGCACTTTAATAATTCATTAATTCTTTTCTTTCTTTCTTGCTTGCTTTTCTTCTTTCTTTCTTTGTATTTATGTTATGTAGTGGTTTCACAGTGGAGGCTTGTATTTCACTAAGTCGGTCCTAAAATAGGTTCGACGTACAAAACGTTAGGAACTTCATATAATAGGTAATGACGCAGAGTAATCTAGTTGTGGTCGTTGATACTTTAGTATCCGACTAACAGTCGTCCGACATCGACTGACTGACCAACTCACTGCCGACTCACTCGTTACTCTTACTACTCCTACTTATTGTAGGTGTGAGAGTCTATTAACTATAGGTGTGTTCTACTATAACAATTTCATTCACTCATTAATTTTTCTTTCTTTCTTTGCACTTCATTCATTCATTAATTCAATTTGTTTCTTTCTTTTCCTAAATTCATTTTTCTTTATTTTTCATAAATTCATCTTTCCTTCCTTCTTTATTTCTCTTCATTCATTCATTAATTCATTAAAATCATTAATTGTTTTATTTAATTTTTCATTTTTACTTTTCATTCATCCTTCCTTTTTCCTTTTCGTCCATTCATTCATTATTTCTATATTTTGTTTTTCATTCTTTTATTCATTTATGCTGTCTTTCTTTCATTTGTACTTTTTCAGCCAAAAGCCTGACGCTATATCATTCAAAATACAGAATCCTATCATTTGAAACGTTATAATACACTTAAGTAAGGTACACAGAATTTGAAATCAATTAGCATGACAAAATCTCAATAAGAAAAATCCCCACCCCCGCCAATCAAAAAGTTATCTTCAATTATTCTTTCTTTCTTTCTTTCTTTCTTTCTTTCTTTCTTTGCACTTGAAGTTATCTACTGTTGCCATCTCATTCGAATCTAAGTTCTTCGGGTAAAGTTTGAACCTATTTAGCAAAGTGTAGTGGCATTAAATATAATAGCTGTAGCAGCTCTAAATAAACCTTGCATCAGCAGCAGTTCACGAATATAAAAAACATGTGAACCTTAAAGTAACTCTCTTTTTCTTCCGGGTTTTCCCTCTTTCGAACTCCTGATATGAACTTTCTACACTGAAGCTACAAGGGCTATGAATGCTTCACCATAAAACACATCAACAAAGTAAGTTCCCACTATAACATATTAATGAACATCTTGTATGCAATTTGCGTCTAACTAGAGAAACTCTTGCTTTAAAATATACTTTTGTTAATTTTATTTTAATAAATGTTATCTTTGTATTCCAAATCAATTTGTCAGTTATTTTTGGGCATGGACTTTTTACGTCAACAATATTTCACCACTATCAAATATCCCCGTAAAAAAACTTACACATTTAATTATTGAAGTAGCTAATCACTAAAAAAGTTTCTTTTCCAATACTGTGTACAAGATTTGTTCACTTAATGTTTGTTGAGATGTTTCTAGACTTGAAATCAATCAGGTCCCTAAATTGTTTAATAGGCTGGCCAATGAGCTACAACATTATGCTTAATCTGGATGCGGTGATTTTTAATTTTTCTTCATAATACCACCTAAAACTTCGACACGTCCCGCAAAGGAGCCACCTTGTCTCTTTCATCTTTTTCTTAACGATCTGGCTAGGAACAATCTCAGGCCATTAGTGAACATCGTTTGGGTAACATCCTGTTTATGGGCGCAAATTCCTAAAATCAAGATGTTCCGATCCTTGCAGCTGATCTCTCTTCTGTCTTAGCTTTAACAGATCTAATGGAAAATTACTGGCTTGTCATATTCAGAGCCTCAAAAACAAATATATTATTGATCCATCATCATCAATCAAACCCTGATTTATTTTAAGTCACGATGAACGGCTGCACCCGAAATGACGATTTATGCTTTGGAGGTTTATTGGGTCCAAAGTTCAATCCAGACATCAAGTGAAAATCAGATAAACGAGCCATTGCTAAAGATGTAGGAAAAATGATGGATTCATTTCAGAAAGCAACTGACTCCTTCTCTTATGCGTTATCTTTACACGAGTCAACCATTTTAATTCAAGCAAGGAGATAAAACTGTAAAGAGGTTACAGATTTTTGAAAGAAAATGAAAAAAAAAACACGTTAGGGTGTTAAAAGACGAGGATTCAAAGAGACAGAATATGACGATTGAATTTGCATTTAAACTTTTGAAGATCGTAATTGACAGGAAGTCAAGAATCCAAAAGAGAGTTCCACAATTGAGAAGAAGAAACGTAAGCTTCGAACTTAGGCTTACACTTAGCAATTTTAACAGTGAAATGATGAGACCTAGCTGCCAATCTAGTACGGCGCTTAAAGCTCCTCAGAACAATTACCGTGAAATTATTTATAGAAAAGGTACAGGGAATATCTATTACGGCGTTGGGAAAGTGACTGAAGCCGAGATGCTAGGTTACGACCGATTGTATTGCAGATTATTCTTGTCCTCTGCTTCTCTAGTAGAAGCACAAGAACAGATGCGGTATTAATATTCAATGCAAGGACAAACAATCGTCATATAAATGTGCAAAATGACGATAAAAATGTCTATAGCACAATACAGGAAACCAATTTCTATAGCAGCAGACTTCAAATTCAGATCAGAGGGAAATAGAGAATTTGAAAAAATTGAATGTTGCTGCCATATCTACCTGGAGCTACTCAATCTTCATTTTCCAGACTTGGTTTGGTTTATTTTGTTTTACGGTGAAGAAAGCTCAATGAGTTATTGTTGTGGGGCTCTCCCCGTTTTACATAAGATGGACTCGTCCGAAGTAGACTTATACTGACAGAGAGAATACTTGCTGTTGAGATACGTGGAGATACGTGGAGATACGTTGAGAGATACGGAGACAGGGTGTTCTCAGAGAGTTATACAAAAGTCCAGAGCGAGAGAGATGATTACAGCTTTACTTATAAAGACGTGTACATATACTTTCTACTAACCCGCATTCCTGGACTACTAATCTTCACTTCAAGTCTGTATTCTTACGTTTATTACACTTATTTTTCTATCTCAATTACTGGCGTTGTTTATTTATTTGTGCAGGATTCCATTCACGGAATCCACAACAAAAGTTATTTAATGCCGACATGATTTTTAGCATAGGTTCATATGGATAGAATATGTCTTCTTTGTAACAAATCAGTTTGTAGATCAGGATTCTTTGACGAAGTTTTGTAAATAGTATTTTTATTTTATCGAGAGTGAAACGTATTGCTCGTCATATTTTTCTTTTCAAATATGAATTGTGGTAATATTTTTTTCAAACAAAATGTATTGCTGGTATTTTTGCTATAAAAAATCTATTTTTATACTTTCATAATGTTTTGACTCCAGTTTGGGGGTTAACTATTTCCTCAACTCCTGAACCCTAACAGGTGCTACCACCTCAAGTCAGGGTGGACCTTGGACAAACACCAATTCAGAGGCGCTTCTATGCTTCTCAAACCCTCCCGATCAGAGGCTTTGCTGTTGGATATAGTTTATCGTCATACCCAGGACGGTTTTCCAACCTTGATAAAGTTCAAAAATCAATTCTGCGGTCTTTTTTTTGGGGGGGGGAATACCATCCGCTCTATAACCTATTTCGACGGACGCAACGTTGCAAGCCTATCGCAACATGTTCGCTTTTCACATAACAAATGTCCAGATGAACGCTCCATACTTTCTTTCCATAAGTTCAGAACTTTACAGTTTGAGCACCGTCATGTTACTTCCACGGGTTGAATCTCATTTCCTCCTCAGCTAAGAAGTAAGTTTCATTCAAAGAACTTTACCACAAGAATTGTGACTGTATTAAACAGACTCCCGACTTGGTGCTTCATTGAGCACTCCAATCTTGACCTCTTCAAGTCAAGAGTCAGTCATAATCATTTATCTTTATCCTCATAATCTTCACTACCTACCGACCTCTACTTACCTTCATGTCACATAACTCATTCAGTATTAACATTTTCAATGTAGCACTCTACCTTGAGTGGCTTTCTAGCCTTATATTGTGTGAAATTTAGTAAAAAGAAAGAAAACCAGCATCAGACTATCCATGGTGAATTTGGGTCCCGTTTTAGTGCGTGTGGGGTAGGATTCCTTGCGTCACCCGTCACGCTTTCATATTTGTACAAACAGTAGTAAAAAAAAAGAGTTTGTTCGACCGCTGGTTTTGAATTTAGTGTTATTTACCTTCTAGATTATTTGCTTACCAAAATCACAGTCTGTCTGGTTAGTTTATGCAACGTAAACTTACCTCCTCCATGCTTCATCCCATCCGATCACACGTTAACTTTTGTCTTCTCCACAACCATTGCTTTCGACATTTTAGGAAGCAATTCGAATTCTGGACAAAATAATTTTTTCCAGTGTTCACTGAAAAAAGGCATGAACGTAATTCTCCCTTCATTCTGTCTTATTTCTAGTTATCGAGTGTTGTCTCACTGATGCACCAAAGTGATAGTTGAATTAATAGTCATTTTTCTATACTTCCATTATGCCTATACGATATACGCCAAAATAGCTGCTATAGTCATTGTTAACCTTGACAGATGGTGAAATTTGTGTGTATTAAAGAAGATAAACGATTAAAAGATTCTTCCTTTTTCCTGTTTCAAGAACTGTCCCGACTCATTCATCTCGACGCCATTTTTAACGTCTAATGTTATTGATTGTAATGTGTAATAATTTCTGTTTGTATTTAAAAATGTCTTTTTATTTGTTTGTTCGTCGTCTCTTTGCTTCGCCAATGTTTCCAATCGACTTCAAACTCGATATTGCAATAAGTATTTTTATCTGGAGATTTTCTGCTCAAATTGTACGCTTTGCCTAAATATAGACTTTCTTCTTTCCCTTAACAACTCACACCAGGATAAACGCTAGACATTATGTCAAACTTTATATTTAGAAACGAACATTTCACTTTTACAAACACTGCATGTCTCTCAGAACGACAAATAAAAAATAATAAATTTGAAGTAAATTAAACTATAAATAAAATAAAATAAAAAACAAAATTTGTAAGATTGTGAAGCGTTGGGATCCATCTTGAATTGTCTTAGAATACACGTGAATTCAAATGGGTCCTAAAACATTAATGATTGAATACGCTGTAAATTCTAAAAGCAAGATCAACAAAGCGGTTATTCACTGTCCACAAGTAAAAACAAAGAAATACATTATTTACATTATTCAAACAATTGTCCTCATCTTTTTTGCTATATTTATCACAACATTTCGGCCGTTGTATGCTCCGGCCTTCCTCAGGTGGTTGAAAAACCTTTTATTCCGCTCGCTGGGGTAGACTATTCTAATTCCGCGTGTCATGTCTAATGGATGTCTGAGGAAGGCCGGAGCGTACTACGGACGAAACGTTGTAGTAAATATGGCAACAAAGACGAGGACAATAGTCCGAATAATGTAAATAGTGTACATAATACCTCATCTCAGAAATATAGACAGATACTGAAAGGCCAAAACGTTGTAATATATATGGCAACAAAGATGTGGACAATAGTCCGAATAATGTAAATAGTGTACATAATACCTCATCTTAGAAATACAGACAGATACTGAAAGGCCGAAACGTTGTAATAAATATGGCAACAAAGATGAGGACAATAGTCCGAATAATGTAAATAATGTACATAATACCTCATCTCAGAAATATAGACAGATACTAAGGAAATACATGATAACTTTCGGGATACTTGGGCGGATGTTACGGTTGTAGGCTTATATATGAAGGTGAAGGTTTTAGTAAGACAGTTCCGAAGGAAAGATGTAGTTTATTAATCTGTCGTGTGATAAAACTGAAGAATCAATGGAGATGTACCCCTCAGTGCCCCCCCCCTGCAGATTCTCGAGACTTTACTAACGGAATACGTGAAGAAATTATTATCTGAATTCGTGTTTTTATTTATC